CCTACCATTTGGGATCAACTCATCGCCCGAACACTTTCAGCGCATGATGGCGGAGGTCATCGAGGGTCTCAAAGGAGTGGTGTGTCACATTGATGATGTGTTGGTGTGGGGACGTAACCATCAGGAATATGATTTCCGTCTCCATGCTACACTGCAAAGATTGGAAAAAGCAGGCATAACGCTGAATGTGGAAAAATGCGAGCTCTCCCAGAGCAAGGTTGCTTTCTTGGGTCACATCATAGCGGATACAGGAATCAGTCCTGACCCAAAGAAAATGGAGGCGATTACAGAAATGACAGAGCCAACTAATGTGTCAGAGTTGCGCAGTTTTCTGGGCATGGTGAATCAAGTGGGCAAGTTCATCCCCCATTTAGCTGAAAAAGACAAAGCCTTGTGAGATCTTCTTTCCAAAAAGAACGCATCGTATTGGGGAACTGACCAAGTGAGAGCTTTCAAAACATTGCGAGATGCCCTGACCTCACCCCAAGTGCTCGCAATGTATGACCCCAACAGAGACATTAAAGTATCAGCAGATGCTTCATCCTATGGTCTCGGAGGTGTTCTTTTGCAGCTGTGGAAAGAAGGATGGTGACCAGTGGCGTATGCATCGAGGTCCCTTTCTCCTACAGAACAACGATACGCACAAGTGGAAAAAGAGGCACTGGCGTCTACATGGGCGTGTGAGCGTTTTCGTGATTTCCTGATTGGTAAACATTTTTGTCTTGAAATGGACCACAAACCTCTCGTTTCCTTACTGGGAAGTCAAGCTCTGGATCTCTTGCCACCCAGGATCCAGCGATTCAGAATAAGACTCATGCGTTACTCGTACACTGTGCAGTACGCCCCAGGGAAATTGCTCTGGACAGCAGATACTTTGTCCCGCTCACCTCTGAAAAAACCAATGAACCTGTCAGACAAAGAGCTAATGGAAAGCACAGACATATATGTGGACAGTACTGTAGCACACATGCCTGTCAGTTCATCATATATGCAAACACTGAAGGAACAACTGAAAAGCGACAGTGTGTGTGCTCGCGTCATGGACATGTGCACCGAAGGCTGGCCAGAACATGCAAAAGAAGAGCCTTTACTGAGAAATTACTGGCCTGACCGAGCCATGCTCACTGTTGAAGACGGCCTTTTGCTAAAAGACACACGGCTTGTTATTCCTTCAGCAATGAGAAACGAGGTGCTGGAAAAACTACACGAAGGACATCAAGGTGTTGTAAAATGTAAAGCTCGTGCACACCAAACAGTGTGGTGGCCCGGGCTGAGTCAACAAATCTTTGAGATGGTGCTCAAGTGCAAAACGTGTATTCAAGAAAGACACAATAACAGTGAGCCACTCATGCCAACAGAATACCCTGCCCGCCCATGGCAGAGAGTGGGCACAGATCTTTTCGACCTGGGGGAAAACCTACCTTCTCGCTGTTGACTATCACTCTAGATTTGTTGAGATTTCTTTCTTAAACAGAACAAAATCAAACGATGTGTCATTACTCACCTGAAATCTTTCTTTGCCCGTCATGGCATCCCAGAGGTCCTCATGTCTGATAATGGGCCGCAGTATTCAGGTCAAATCTTTACAGACTTCGCAGCAGCGTATGGCTTTAAACACATCACAAGCAGCCCCAAGTTTCCGCAAAGTAATGGAGAAGCAGAACGTGCTGTGCAGACTGTAAAAAATCTTCTGAAAAAAGCAGCTGATCCTTATCTAGCTCTTCTTGCCTATAGAGCTACACCACTGCAGTCCAGATACAGCCCCGCAGAGCTTTTAATGGGCAGACGTCTGCGAACCACACTGCCGATACTTCCATCGCAGCTGGAGCCTACACTGCCGGACGACGCACTGCTCGCTCAAAAGGAAAGGGAGAAGAGGATGATGGACATTGCAAACTTCAACAGGCGCCACCACGCAAAACCTTTATGCAGCCTGTCCCCAGAAGAGCAAGTTTGGGTGACTGATGTCAAAACTGCAGGCACTGTTATCCAAAATCCCTCTACACCCTGATCATACACAGTGGAGTTACCACAAGAGACTGCGAGGCGTAATTTGATTCCTTTAAGTTCACCAGTGCATGAACCTGCTTATGTGCCTGTGTTGCAGAAGCCTCAAACACCCAGTGTGATCCCTGCTACACCTGTTAACACTGATGTGGT